GCTGTGCTGTTATATCGACTGCCTGACAACCTCTACACCGCTTTATTATTCATTTCTGGGTAGATTTATCTAGGCAAGACACTTTGAATATGCACACATCAAACTCTGTGCCTCAAGACGCATTGCACCAAGTTTGTCGTCAATGGCATCAATGTCACTGGTTCTTGGGAGTTCTGCTCATTACAGTAGGTTCATGTACTGAAAATATAGATTTTAGTTTTCTCTGATGCCGAGTGAAATTGAGGATATATCATATTTCAGTGTTTAGTGGAATAAGGCTCTATTTGTGTCTTTGTGTCTACTGATTCACAACATACACTCTCAGAAAAAAAAATACAAAAGCTGTCACTGGGGCAGTACCTTTTCAAAAGGTACACCTTTGTACCTTTTAGGTACTAATATGTACACTTTAGATACTTATGTATCTTTAAGGTACCAATATGGACTCTTTAGGTACCAAGGTGTGCCTTTTGAAAAGCCAGTGACAGCTTTTGTACCTTTTTTTCTGAGAGTGTAGGGAATGGAATGAGAGACATATTTGCATTTGTGAGATATTTTAAACAAACAAAAAAATTATTTAAGATGCTTAAAAGTTTTTATTTTGAAGTCTAATGTGTTTTGAGAAACACCTTAGTTTTTTGGTTAAAGTTGCTAATGACAGATAAGCTGTTGCTAGTACAAGATTTGATGACTGAATATAAAATATGTAATGAACATTAGTGCGGTTGAAGACTGTAGTCGACTTATGACGTTCTAGCTGTCATACAACTTTTACTGCAGTTCCTAGTTGCCTTTTAGCACATCGACTTTCAGATCTAAAATCGCCAGAGCTCTCTTATTGCTGCATTATGTAACATGCACATTTCCAGAAGTAAGAATCGGCTAATACTCTTAATCGTTTCAAGATTTTCATTTTTTGCTTTACCACAACTGAAACCCAGTTTACTTTCTTTCCGCTTGAAAGCAACACAGAACCCTTTGACCGGCGTTATTGATCTTGTTCTCTTCCTGCGCTGTCTCAGCATGCTTTCTGCAACACATTTTTTGAAGTAAACTAATTTAAGTATGCAGTTTGGCAGCCGGGCTCTGTAAAGTGGTCTCGTATGGAACGGTTTTTGTTTTTTTCACAGGAAGTCAAAAGCTGAGCAGGCAGTTCAGAGTCGCATGCAGACCATTCCAACAGCTTGCAGCCAAGTGCTGAACATGCTGTCTGCCTCCAAAGCGTGTCACTTCCATTACTGCTCCAAAGAAGAGGAGGTTACCATCTGATGTTCCTTGTGCCAGTTTGGAACATCTGGATGGGACTGTTTGCTTTTCCATGGGCAGCCTTTTTGTGTTTACCTTCAGTGATGGACTTTTAGAAAATAGTAAAACAAACTAACTTTAAAACAAACTTTTATCTTATTAACTAGTATATAAAATTTTTCTACTAACAATTTTCAAAAGCAAACATGCATTACAATATTACAATATATATATATATACTGCAATGTGGAGTCATTAAGAGCCCACAAGAGCATTATCCTGCTGAACAGTGTTTAACACAGATGCCATGCTCTGAACTCTTTAATTAGACATTAATCTGAAGAAAATGTGAGTGGCACTTACTCGTGTAGAACTTGGCAACACAATGCTACAGTGTTGCTAGGGTGTTTCAAGTTACTGCAGTCACTAAAATGTCCACTGAATACGCCGGAACGACTGCTGCTTTTGCATATTTTGTGCTTGCTGTTTAATAATCATTAGAAAACTTAGCTGGCAGCTCCAGTAGTATTGAAAAGATTTATTTCAAACTCTGTCATGGAAACTAGCATTGTATAAACCCTAATTAAACTATTCCATAATCAATTAAAATAACGTTGTTACGCTGTACCCACATTGAACAAGCGCTTTGGAAAATGGATGGATGGATGATTCAGCTGCAAGCACCGTCTTCTAGCAAGACGCTGGAATTCCTTCAGCACGGCCCTCACAGTGCATTATGGGTATTCTGTAGCCGTTGAGTGTACATTGGTTCTACACTCGTTATTGTGGCGCATTATAGGATTGTTGTTGTATCTCCAGTAGTTGTTCCGTCTCATCCATTTCAGATCCAACCAATTGTGCAGTGTTGCCAAATGCCTTCAATGAAAAGTAGCTAAAGCCCAAAAAAATTTATAAAACGCCAAATATGTGTAAACGTCGTGTGCTGTGAACACATCCTGAAAAGTGAAGCTAAAACATCTCGATCGCCCCCTGGTGGCTGGCTGCAGTATAGGTCAAAAACCCGCCGCCTTCATGAAAACAAATGTTTAATAAAAATAAAAATGGTATTACGCTTCAAATAAAAATTTTCCCAGAG